TGTTTTTGAGTTTATAACAAAACCAAACCATCAAAGAACCATTTATAGAGGTTAGAATGACGTAAAAAACAACCATAAAATGTTTTAGAATGACAATTTGGAGCATTTGAATTCACTTGATTTTGGGATCTTGATGAAGATAGAAAGATTAAAGAGTATGATCTTCTTTACTGGTATCCACCATCAAGAATAAGGCACCAAGAAATGCTAGTTTCATCTTGTAGTAATTTGTTCTTTGAGCCTTTAAATGCTTATCAAAATAAACACTAAGGAAGGCATAAAGGTAGCACTAATTCTTCACACTTGATTTCAAAAGATGAGAGGAAGAAAAAAGCCAAAAGCTACTACTTTTATGAGGAGAATAATGACCAAAGAACTAGCTTATTTTCTTGTTAAGTGTCTCTCTTATATATCTCATGCAAGGTAAGGGTTTTAAGTTAAAATATTCTAAAGCATTGTCTAGTAAGAGGAGCATGGGGGACAAGGGATTGAAGGTTGACAAGGGATCTCCATCATAAATGATACATATGGCCATAAGGCCTAAAGAAGACAAAAAAAAATGTGTGATAGTTTCTTTATTAAATAAAAACTAATTAACCACTTAATTCATGGTTAGCCAAAATATCCGAAAACTTTATAAATGACTTATTTATCATACCATATGATACAATAACTAGTTTGTTGTTTCGTTTATTATTATTTTCATAAAACAATAATAATTCTCCAATTAAATATATGAGTTGAGTTTATTTATTAATAATCAAATACTTAATAAATATTCAATAAGCACCAACTTGATTAAGGTGTGACTCTATAAGATTATATGTTATTAGCATTCAATAATAATTATTGAGCATATAGATCCAACATGTTTAGTGTGTTTCATGCTAACTTTATAGGACCTTCGATACCATTATTGTGAGATTTGTACTTTGTGCTTGACTTTAGGGTTTTAGGAATGAAAGAATGTTGCATTTCATATGCTTCAAAATTATTAGTTGGATTGATAAATGTTAATATTTCTATATAATTATTTGATTTGAGATGCTTCTTTCTCCAATTTATGATTGCTTTCTATCGTTTTGACTTTTGAAAGCATTTTTAGGGGTTTGACTTTAGGTTTCGGTTGTCAACTTGTCAAATATCCTTAAGAGGTGGTCGGGAAATGTTTTACTAGGATTTTTTAAGGTTAACATGTGTGTTTTAACATGTATTCGACTAAGTTAAAGATTGACGATGGATTTTAGCTTTACTTTTAGCTTTAGAAAATATTCTAATTTAGATTTGAAATGTCTGTAAGTTGTTCTTTTTTTTTTCTTTGATTATTTTATTACATATTTGTTTAAGATTTTAAATGTTAGTAAGTTGTTCTTTTTTTCTTTGTTTTATTTCATATCGGTATGCTTTAACAATTTAAACATTTTTAAATCTTAATGATTTGACCATTTAAAGGTATTATCGACAAAAAATGATTTCATTTTATGAAATAATATGAAATTTTGTTTTAAAATTAAGACTATTTCAAATATCTGACACCAATGGTGTTTCCATGCAGGAAAGTATCTCTCTTATATATCTCATGCAAGGTAAGTGTTTTATGTTAAAATACTCTAAAGTATTTTCTAGTAAGAGGAGCATCGGGGACAAGGGATTGAAGGTTGACAAGCAACATCAATCCTAAATGATACATATGGCTATAAGGCATAAGGAAAACAAAAAAGTGTGTGCTAGTTTCTTTATTAAACAAAAACTAATTACCCACTTAATTCATGGTTAGCCAAAACGTTCAAAAACTTTATACATGATTTATTTATCATAATATATAATATAATAACTAGTTTGTTGTTTCTTTTATTATTATTTTCATAAAACAATAATTATTCTACAGTTAAATACATGAGTTGAGTTTATTTATTAATAATCAAATACTTAATAAATATTCAATAAGTACCAACTTGATTAAGGTGTGGCTTTGTACGATTATATATTATTAGCAATATCACTCAATAATAATTATTGAGCATATAGATTCAACATGTTTAGTATGTTTCATGCTAACTTTATAAGACCTTCGATACCATTATTGTGAGATTTGTACTTTGTGCTTGACTTTAGGGTTTTAGGAATGGAAGAATGTTGCATTTCATATGCTTCAAAATTATGAGTTGGATTGATAAATGTTAATGTTTCTATATAATTATTTGATTTGAGATGCTTCTTTCTCCAATTTAAGATTGCTTTCTATCGTTTTGACTTTTGAAAGCAGTTTTATTGATTTGACTTTAGGTTTCGGTTGTCTACTTGTCAAATATCCTTAAGAGGTGGTTTGGAAATGTTTTACTAGGATTTTTTAAGCCTAACATGTGTGTTTTAACATGTATTTGACTAAGTTAAAGACTGACGATGAATTTTAGCTTTAGTTTTAGCCTTAGAAAATATTGTAATTAAGATCTGAAATGTTAGTAAGTTGTTTTAGCTTTAGCTTTAGAAAATATTGTAATTAAGATTTGAAATGTCACTAAGTTGTTCTTTTTTTTTTTCTATTTATTTTATTACATATTTGTTTAAGATTTGAAATGTTAGTAAGTTGTTCTTTTTTTTTCTCTGTTTTATTTCATATCTTATGCTTTAACAATTTAAACATTTTTAAATCTTAATGATTTGACCATTTAAGGCTATTATCAACAAAAAATGATTTCGTTTTATGAAATAATATGAAATTTTTGGTGTGTTAATAAAACCCAAACCCAAGTCAAGGGCTTGCTTCGGGGAACCCTAGGTCACCTTGGTAGAGCTTCCTTGTGTCACAAAAAAAAAAAAAAAAAAAAAAAAAAAAAAAAAAAAAAAAGAAAATCATATTTAACATTTTTGTCACCTCCATCAAAGTATTTGTGTCCATTTGAAAATTAAAGCACTCTAAAGATTGTATTCTATAAATAACTAACATTTTTTTCTAATATTATTGATTCTTGCAAAAGTTTGATAAGTTCTTTTTCGTTTTTGCTTGAAATTTACAAATTTGAAGAAAAAAACCCTTTAAGTTTATAAATATTTTATGTTTTTACCATAAGAATAAGAATGTTTTTCAAATTTGACATGAAAGTCTTTAAATTTGTTATTTTTATCGGTCTTGTCCGTGAAAACTTGTTATGACATGTAACAGAGGCAAACATGAAACTTTTTTCGCAAACATTAGGCATTAACTAAGAAAAAATCATCACATGAGAAAACCGATAAATTTTGACAAACATAACTTTATATCAAAAACCCCGTAAAAGACTAGTCCATTCATGTTTTAAAAAACTTATTGATTTTTGAAGCTAGTGTTTGATTATTATAGGAACAAACCATCATTTATCGAAAATACATAAATGATAGTGCATATTTTTTGCAAAATAAAAAATCCTGTTTAGAAAACATCGAGCATGATGCTTTTCTTGCATTTCATTCGTATAAATAATAATCTTTAATAATTTATAAAGCGATATATATATATATATATATATATATATATATATATATATATATATATATATATATATATATATATATATATATATATATATATATATATATATATGAAAAGTCAAATATAGGACTACTATGAGTTATGGGGTGTAAGTACCTAGACCACACACAATGAGAATGATTCTAGAAGACAAAGGAGTTCCATTGATTAATGGAGTTAGGGTACTACAAAGTTGATGGAAAAGATGTTATTGGGGGACAACTTGAAGTTAGGCCTCTTGATTTTGACACTTTTAGCTAAATTATTTTCAAATATGTCAACTCATCCTAATTCTTTTTTGTTTTCTTGTCTTTTTGGTACCTTTTTGTCAACAATGCACGCCCCACTTGTTTTCCCAACTACACGCATTTGGGCTATTTGGATTATGTTTTTTCTTCTATGTCTTCCACATTTGAAAAGGAAATTTGAAAGGGCGGATTTGTATTTCGAATTGAATAAGATTTTGTTCATCGATTTTAATTTAAATTTGTGATATGTACATCGATACTGGATAGTTTTTCAATGAAACCATCTAGTTATAACCTATCTAATACATGATTTTATATCAGAATATTGTATTGGTGATGGAAGATATTTCTATTTGGGTGTTAATGTGAAGATAATAACATTTTTAGGTCGATTCTCACTTTAAGCAGTGTATTATTGTTGTCCATCTTTGCTACATACGTACCCTAAGGCACTACTATCAAATAACTTTATAAGGTATGTTTGATTGTATCAAATGATCAAAATTGTAATATGTTGTTATTCCGATACTTGCATAAAATGGAAGATCTACTCGATGTAAGAAATTTAGGATGGATTAGTAGCTTGGCTTATGAGTTCTAATTTGTTTCTTTCTCCTTTATAATACTTTGTTCTTTTATGGGTTAGCTTCTGACTAGTCTCTTTAATAAAATTTGGATTGTTGTTCTAAACAAATAAATTATAAGACTTTATCTTAATTCAACCCCATAAGCAAGCAATTTATTTTCCTTCTTCTGAAATATGTTGAAAAATTAAGTATGCTAGGTGAACTTTCTGCTTCCAAATAGTGATGTCTCTCTAATGGGGGAGTCAACAAAAACTTAGGTCAAGCAATTTATAATTTTGCTAAATACAACTATTAATCATGCATTATAACTTTTGAATTTGGCATTAAATATTCAAAATGTTCTAATTGTGTACATGCACCAATAATATTGCTTTCGGCCTAGTAAACTTTACTCCCTTAAAGGCACTTGGCAACTTCATATTTGCTTGTCATGCAATATTAATCTTTTTTTTTTTTTTTTTTTTTTTTTTAATATTATAAAAAGGTATAACCCATAATGCCCTCAGAAGTGGTACGATCCCAACCTTATCCTTGTAGCTAGATGTTTCCTATATATAGATGTCATATGTACAAAAGCTTTGCAAATTCTGAATCCTTCTTAATTACCGTCTCTACGATTTTTCCACATCATATAAAAGCTATATGAGAAGAACAAGAATGGCCATCATAAACTCAGATTCAACTTTGAGCCTTCCAATAGGTACCAAAAACCCTCAAAACCATAGGGTTTTAATTGAAGAAATCGGTGGCCTAATTAGGGTTTACAAAGATGGACACGTGGAAAGACCTCAGATCGTGCCATGTGTGACGTGTACGTTACCCCTTGAACTTGGGGTAACATGCAAAGATTTGGTAATCGACAAGTTTACAAACATTTGGGCTCGTTTTTACGTCCCAAAATGCAATCTTGAGAAACTCCCTTTGCTTGTTTACTTCCATGGAGGAGGGTTTTGTGTTGGTTCTGCGGCATGGAGTTGTTACCACGAATTTCTTGCAGTTTTAGCTCGTAATGCTGGTTGTGTGATCATGTCAGTAGATTATCGTTTAGCACCTGAGAACCCTCTTCCAGCAGCGTATGAAGATGGCGAAAAGGCTCTGATATGGGTGAAACAACAAGCTCTAAGTGGATCCAACAAATGGTGGTTGAAGAACTGTGATTTTTCTAACGTGTTTGTAGCAGGTGATAGTGCTGGTGGCAATATAGCACATAACGTGAGCTTAAGACTGAGTGTCAATTGGGCACAGCTAAAACCATTGATTTTCAAAGGTAACATTCTAATCCAACCTTTTTTTGGTGGAGAATCAAGAACCATTTCGGAAGCCCTCATGGTCCAACCACGGGGCTCTGTGCTCAACCTAGTGGCCTCAGACACTTACTGGAGACTCTCGCTACCGAAGGGGGCAAACCGTGACCATCCATGGTGCAACTCGAGGGCAAAAAGGTCAAGTAAGTTGGACAGAATGACATATTTGCCGACCATGGTTTGTGTATCCGAATTGGACATACTAAAAGATAGGAATATGGAATTTTGTGGGGTTTTGAGAAATTCAGGCATACAAGTTGAGCATGTGGTGTATAAAGACGTGGGTCATGCATTCCAAATCCTTGACAAATCTCAATTTTCACAGATGCAAACACAGGAAATGATTTCTCACATCAAGGCCTTCGTCAGCAAAAGGATGAATAGTGGATGACCACTTATCATGTATCATTGCATCTTTAATTACCAATATAGTTTAACAGATCAATTAAGATTATTGTAATTAAATAGTATGGATTTCCTCACATGCATATATATATCAGTGCTTTTGTATATGGATATGTTTGTTATTTACGACAATCGAAAAATATCAAATATGTACTTTTGTTCGAATTAATGGTTTCGTTGCCACACTAACTTATGCCTCAATGGAGTACAACTAGATTGGTGCTGGAGAGTATTTTATAAAACACGAGTTGATGTGACACATACTACAAAATTGTAGAGATAGATATTACGACGGATAATGTTGTCGCTAGATGTCTGCCATTGATAGAGACCGATGAGGTGGTCAATCTCCCAAAAAAATAAGAGACGAAAGGAATATACATTTTACTGAATTCTTCTTCTTCTTCTTTTCCGTAATACAATTACATAAATTTTAAAAGAAATGTTGGAATTAAGGAACCATGATCTAGCTAAAGAGAAAATATTTTGTGACGGGCTAGTGGGGTTTAAACATACTAGGACACAAGTCATTTAATAGTGAGAGTGATTTTTATTTTTTGATGTGGTCCCTTCTAAAAATCATATTGTTAAATACCAACAATATCAAAATAAAAGAATAGCACCATAAAAGTCATAAGGAACAAAGCAAGATTGGTGGTGAAAGGCTATTGTCAGGAAGAATGGATTGACTATGAAGAAACTTTCGTTCCAGTAGTAATGTTAGAACCAGTTCGAATCTTCTTAGCATATGCAGCACACAAAAACTTCAAGGTATTTCAGATTGATGTCAAGTGTGCTTAATTTCCTGAACGGAGAATTAGAAGAAACCGTATATGTTGAGCAACCACCGAGTTTTGTAAGCAAAAAGTATCCCAACCATTGCTATATTTTGGACAAAGTCGTATATGGTCTGAAGCAAGCTCCTTGAGCCTGGTATGAAACTCTAACTCGTTTTCTTAAGATGTACAAATTTAAACATGGTTCGGTTAACCCATCCTTCTTTCGCAATAAAGAGGGTGACCATTTAGTGATCGTCCAATTTATGTTGATGACATCATCTTCGGTTCCACGAATTCTAGCCTACACTACTAGAAAACAGGCTTTTAATGACGTGCAAACAATGACACGCACTGATAGAGGACACACATTTGTGTACGCCCTATAAAATATTGTCAGTTTTGCAAAATATGAAGGATAGAGGGCACGCATTTTTGCGTGCTCTAAAATTAGTGTTAGAAAAGAAAAAAATGGAAATGTGGAGGGCACCTTTCATAAAATGTGTGTCATCTAAATGTGTCGCTTTATAATTTTTTTAATGAAACACGCGTTTTAAGCGGGATTTCACCCACCTATTGGATCCCAAAAATTAAAAACCCCGCCTCTTCCAATTAGCAAGAAAAAGCCCTAGGGCCTTCGTCTTCATAGCATAATTGCTCTTGCTTTCATGATCAAAATTGTTTTGATTTTTCCAATCTTTTTCTCAGTGTTGTAAGCCACTATAGGGAGTGGTGTTATGCATTTTCTTTACTCATTTACTCATACGCATTCTGCAATCAGGGAACTGAACTCATGGAGTCGGCGATTGAGGGTCTACGACTCCTCACACTCAAAATGGCGATGATTTTAAGGTTTTTTGTACCCGGTATCAAAGAAGGACTAGGGCTTTTAAGCTCTGGACGTCACAAGTGCGCACCCACGAACTAGGGTTTTAATATCGGCGTGTTCAGCCCCATCATTCACTTTTTCCCTCCATCATCATCGGCGACTTCACCTGATTTTTCTTAAAGCTTCGTCTTAAAGCACCCATCAGCTTCTTTCCACTTCCATTGCTTCTTTTCAGACTATCCTCCATACAAGACTCACTGGTTTCATCCAAGTTCTCGTTACCAGGTTTAATCGACGACAATCGATACAGCTGCAGCATGTACTTGGTAAAAACTGGGGCGTCGGAAGGTAGTGGGATTAAAGAGTTCCGCCGTGGTGATACTGATCTCACCGGAACTCGTTGTGAAGTCGTCGTGCAAATTGAGGCTCTACCTGTTCGTTTTGGAGCTATGAACTGTTCCGGTAAATAAGGGTTGTTTTCTTTTTCGACGAAGTCGTTGACGTCGAGATTGACTAAGTCTCTCGGTGGAGGAAGTGGCGCCGGTAGTTTGTAGGTTATGTTCTTGTTGATAAGTGACTGTTGGTTTTCTTTGCTTTCGTCGGAGATTTTATAAGTATTCAATGGTTTAGAAACAAGTGGAAGTCGATGATCGTCTAGCTGTTGGTTTTCTTTGCTTTCGTCGGAGTTTTTCATGTCAACATGTTGTCGTTCGAGTTTTCTCTCTACCAAAAGCTGCGATTCCAATTCTTTAACCTAATAATGAAAAAACCCAAATCAGTTTATGATCATGATCTCAAAAACCCAATATATTCTTGATGTCGCACCTTATCTTGAAGATACTTGTTTTTCAACTCTTTCTCCTTTAACTTCATGTCTAAACCATGGAATTGATCCTCCATTTTCTTGATTTGCAGGTCTTTGTTGTGACATCCCCATTTTCACGGCCAGAAAAGACCGATTTTGTTTATGCTTTATAAAAATCATAGTACTTCTTTTAATAAAAATGTTGTGGAATTTGTTCCCAGAAAAACATGATAAATACGTTATTAAAAACATTTTCGAAGAAACGTATTTTATTCATTTCAAAACGTTTGGGATGTCATCGTTAATACAGAAACATAAGCATAAACAGAACTTACATTTATTTACACTAGTGATCTACATCTCTTTAAATCTCTCAGTGTAAAGTGACTTCGTATCCACACCTGTGATATAAATAAACTGAGTGGGTCAAGTTGGGAAACCTGGTGAGTACATAGGGTTTTCAACCCACAATAATATAATTATTATGTTTAAACAATCAAGCAATTAAACCCAATTACCCATCCCCATTATCTTCTTTATTCTTAAGGATCTACCCTAAGAATCAACTATTTTCTCATTCATTCATTCCTAAGGATCATCCTAGGGAAATAACATGAAGTCCATCATTGCCAATGACACATTGGTCAAGCGCAGCTGCTAATCTTGTCAATTAGGCGCAGCTGCCAGAATTGGGACATTTTCTATGAGGCGCTTCTGCCGACATTGACCTTTAAACGCTACTGTCATGGTCATAAGGCTCCTTATTTGGCGCAGCTGCCGATACTGTCCTTAGAGCGCAGCTGCTAGGATGTTTACCGTAGATCTGAAACATCTACGGGTTGTGGCGCAGCTGCCAATGCTCATCTATAGGGTACTAGGTCCACTGTTGCCAATGTATACCGATAGGGCACTAGGTCCATGCTACTAATGTTCCTCTATTTCAGCTTTTATCCCTTATCATTCATCTCTCCATGTTTTACCCAACACATTTTGTAGATATAAAATACATATATAGTTTAAATCATTGAAAACATGTATAAAACGTTCATCCAGCATAGATAGCAAGTCTTCAGATAATTTGCACACATAGCACGTAATTTATATAAAATACTTCATATCTATGTATAAGCTGAAAATACTATGCACTCACCTGAAAGGTGGTGACTCAACACTCGGACAGCGCTTCGATACTCTCAAAACAATTTCCTTCGATAAAACCTAGTACCAATACCACTAGGGTTTAGTCTAACGATAACCGTGACAAATTAATTAGTCTGACTATTATTATTATTATATAAGCGTTAATAACACTCAATATAACTCATAATAATAGCTCAAATAATTATTTTAAGGACCTAATAACATTCCTATAATTATTCGAAAGCTATATTAAAAATTGCGTAAGCGTAGCTTACTTACAGCGAATTTTTATCGAAAACCGGAACTTTATTTGGAGCAGCGTTTCGAAACCGAAAGACTCTTTTTCTTGGGACTCCGGGAGCCTCGGGGCTTCCTTAGGGTGCTAGTGGTTCACCTAGACTTTAGGGAACTCAAAAGGAGATAGAGAGAGAAAGTTCTTAGAGAGAGAGTGAGAAAATGTGTGAAAAAGTTGGAGACCCTCGCCCCCCTTTTATACCCAGCGAGGCCTCGGATTACGCTGGGCGTAGTCCTTGGCTATGTTGGGTGTAATGCTCGGATAAGGGTGCTAATGAGCCTCCAGCTGTCTCGCATTTGGAAGGGATAAGAACCGAAGTACGCTGGGCATACCCAGCCTCGGACGTAGGGCGTAGATGCGAGTCGACGTGGCGTGATCTGGAGCGAAGCCTTGGTCAACAAGCAACGGCTCAGAAGCGGCCACGTCATCAACCTCTCACATATTTCACAATTTTGCACTCCGACTTCTAAAAATCATATCTTTCGTATACGAGCTCCGTTTTCGACGTTCTTTATATCTACGCGAAGGTGGGAACGTACTCTACAACTTTCGTTTAGACTTCGTCGGCTAATTTTGAATTGATTTTAAATTTTATATTTTTAACAGACCGGGACAGGATTGGTCCGTTAAATCCTCATAACTTCTTCATTCGACGTCCGTTTTCACCCATCTTTTTCTCGTTACGCTACTCTTAACGAGATCTTCGATTCTCGTTTAGGTCGTTTTCACCCATCTTTTTCTCGTTACGCTACTCTTAACGAGATCTTCATCCGACGTCCGTTTTCACCCATCTTTTTCCCTATTACCTCTAAATTGACTAGCCCGGATCTACGGGCGTTACATTTGTTCTTCATCTCGTGCTTATATCTCTCAGCCTAAGATCATAATTTGTGGATGCAGCATCACGTAAGCTCTGCAATACAGTGTGTCTTTTTGTTACTGTGCACAACTCAACTATGTTGAAGAACTAATATCCACCCATGTATGGCTCATGGAAGACTAATACAGTATGTCTGCAGCAAGGAAAGCTTTTGATGATGCTCCCTGACATCGAATGAAATCTTATGTAAGCTTTCTATTTAACTATTTCTTCATTCTTTGTCATCATTTTTATAAAAAATAAGTAATGAATATTGTATATATGTTACCAGGAAAGATCTAGAATATTGTTGCATTTTGCTGATTTGGTTGAGCAACATGCTGATGAAATAACAGCTCTTGAAGTTTGGGATAACGGGAAGGCATATGAACAGGCAGCTGGAGATGAAATACCATTATTCATTCGTCTTTTCCGGTATTATGCTGGTAAGTAGTGGCTGATTCAAAATAGAATCTAATGACATAAACTATCTTCAAAATTCTAAAAGTTATCATCTTTCTTGGTTTCCGTTGTGATATTTCATAAGTTGGGCTGATAAAATCCATGGCCTTACAATTCAAGCTGATGGACCCTATCATCTCCAGACTCTACATGAACCCATCGGTGTTGCAAGGCAGATTATACCATGGAACTTCCCTCTCCTTATTCAGGGTGCAGATTTATCACATGTGTTTTGTACTAAAGATGCTACTCCAGTAATAAAAGGTTATAGTCCTGAGTTAATTGTACATCCTTTGCTAGAGGAATCTTAAAATATAAGGTCAATTAATTTAATTTTATAATTTATAATATATATGAGTTTCTTATGTGATTAATTATTTAAAGATATAATACATTACCCATATTGGTAGTGAGAGTAAAGTACATTGCTACTCTCCTCTATTTGACATTCTATGTTGATTGCAAATGACAGGCAGGTCTTCCTCCTGGTGTGTTGAATATTTGACATTCCATGAGGTAATATTATTATTGTTTATAAGGGTAAATGGTATGACATTCTATTGTATGAAGGTATGCCCTATTTATTTCCTCTTATAACTCCTGTCATTAGAATCCTAACATGCTCTTATGACTTGATTACTTGACTTTTCTCAGGTTTTCTGTTACATGTTTGTTCTATTAATTTTCAATGCACCGGATGGCTTTTGGTCTCTTTCGTACATTGGCTGCAATTGCAAGAAATGTGATCATTGCCAATACTTTCGGTTCAACTGCCATGCCCGTGGTATTCTTGCTGGGTGGATTTATCATGCCCACAGGTAATTAAATTGCTAAAGTGTTTTTTAGTTTAATTTTCAAAGATCTCCAATTATTTTCTTTTAGATATGATTTTAAAGAAATTCAACTCAAGGACAATGTTTCTTTTGTAGGATTTGCATTTACTACTGTTGATCTTCTAATATTATTATTATTGGCTTCAGTTAATGAATCATTTGATTTAACTCCACAATATCCATTCACTTCTTCTTTCTGCTTGAACAATCACTTTCAACACTCAAGGTCTTTTTTCCATTAGAATTTTCAGTTTTCATAGCTTCATTAATAGGGTCAAAAGTAGGTCGTTAGAGGAGACTCGGTTACTTCTTGTTTTAGTAATTGTGTCTTCATCTTTTTTATTTGAGTTACTGACGTGAATGCTTTTGGACTCCATCTTTGACTTTGTTTGTAGGTTGTTAGAGGAGACTCGGTTACTTTGACCACCTTGTTCAGTTGACTTTTGTGACCATGACATTGAAGCTATCGATCCAGGTTACTTCAAAAACTTGAAGTGGATGCTTGAGGTGAGTCTCACTGAGTCAAACCATTTTATCCTTCTAATAAAAATCCATTTTTTACTTACATATTTGAAAACTCATGTGCAGAACAATATCAATGATATTTTAGATCTTACATTTAGTATTGATGCTGATGAAGAGAAACTCATCTTATGTGATAAAACAGAAGTAAAAATTCTTAATTTGATTTCTCACTCACTTTTATCGGAATCAATGTTGTAATAGGGAGGGGTATTTTTGTAATTATTTTATGGTGTGGATTCAAAGTAACGGACATAAGTCTGTCATTCCCACAACCTTATACCCTGAATAAATAGAATTATTATATAAGACATGAATAAAAAGTAGAAAGCATTTTAGAACACATATTTGAATAATTTGCATCTTGGATATATGTATATATACTTTGTATGGAGATTTAAGAACAATTTGCTATTTGCAGGTATGCTATATGTGGGGATTTAACAATGAAAAAGATAGTAGCTACAAGACCATCTACTAAAGCAAGGTTGGTGTAAGAGTTGATGACGAGAACATTGTTCCAAGACCTTCAGTGAGTTATGATGATGTCCCTTAATAGCAATGTAGTATTTGGTTATATAGTTAGGGATGATTATTTTTATTTGACATGTTAGTGCAATGAATTATCTTTCTTATTTATTGTATTGTATTTTGTATTTTGTATGACATTAACTTTTGTGTAATGGATTATATTTTTTGTAAATGGTATTTTAATTTCTATTATGAGGCATGAAATGAAAATTTAATTTGAAAATTAGTAAATCTATAAATATTCTTTTTTTAAAATAAAAATAAAAATTACGATACGCAAAATGTGTGTCATCTTCATTTATGACATGGCCTTTCTTGACAGCGACTTTATCGATACGCATTGCGTGTCATGAATGCACGTCATAAATGCGCGTCGTCGCTCTTTATGACATGGCCTTTCTTGATGCGCATTTGCGCGTCGTCTGAGCGTTTTACGACGTGCAATGAGCGTCG